GGTTTAGGGTTTAGGGTTTAGGGTTTAGGGTTTAGGGTTTAGGGTTTAGGGTTTAGGGTTTAGGGTTTAGGGTTTATGGTTTGGGGGTTTGGAGTTTAGGGTTTAGGATTTAGGCTTCAGTGTGTAAGTAGGTTTGGGGTTCATGGTTAATGTTGTGGGATTCGGGGGTTAGGGCTAGGGTTAGGGTTTTGGGTTCAGGGTTGAGGGTGCAGGGTTGAGGGTTGAAGGTTGAGGGTTGAGGGTTGGGGGCTGAAGGTTGAGGGTTGAGGGTTGAGGGTTGAGGGTTGAGGGTTGAGGTTTGGGGGATTTTGGGGGTGGGGTTAGAGCTCAGGGTTCAGGGTTCAGGTTTTAGGGTTCAGGGTTCAGGGTTCAGGGTTCAGGGTTTAGGGTTTAGGGCTTAGGGTTTAAGGTTCGGGGGTTCAGGTCTAGGGTTTGGTGCCGAATCTTCTGGCAGCACCCTGGCAGTTCACTGCCACGCCAGGTCAAAAATCAGAATATAAGGTTGGCTTCAGGGTTCAGGTTTCAGGATTCAGGGTTTAGGGTTTAGGGTTTAGGGTTTAAGGTTTAGGGTTTAGGGCCGAACAGCCTGGCAGTAAGTACCCTGGCAATATCCTGCCACGCCAGGTCACAAATCAGAGTTCAAGGTTGACGCTCCCTCCTTTTAAAAGTGTTGCCTGGTACAAATGAAACGTTTTAGCGCCCAAGAATGGCTCCAATTGCCGACTTTGGGCGTGTTAGGGAAAGAATCCAATAATTACGTTTGGACAAGTTCCCACGTGTGACCTAGCGGGCTGGATTCTGCCGCTAGGATCCTAGCGGTAGCAGGATCCTCCTTGACGCACCCGGCTAGCCATCATGTCAATCTGATTTCGGAACAAGACAGAGTCTGTCCCGCTTTCTTACGCTTCCGACGCCGAAGATAAGGGTTTCTATGCTATTTTAGGCATACAATGATGCTATCTTACGCCTTTTCATGTGGACAAATTTTAGTATGTTCCGAGATTGAATCCCGTGGGGCACGTGCCCAGCGCTCGGACGGGCGGATTGCGCGCCCCGCGCGTCGCCAGCCCCCTCGTAGCTGGGGTTGGGTTTCTGATTTTGGGGCGGTGGTTTCAGCGGCATTATGCCTTCAGTCGGCCTCTTTGACGGTAGGGTTCAGGGTTATCGTTGTTATACTTGATTTGAGGTTTAGGGTTCAGGGTCTGGGGCTCAGGGTTCAGGGTTCAGGGTTCAGGGTTGGGTTTTAGAGCAGGGGTTGATGGTTTAGGGTTTGGGGTTTGGGGTTGAGGGTTTAGGGTTGGGGGGTTAGGATGGGGTTGGGGTTTGGGGCGTGGGGTGGGGGGCGTGGGGTGTGTGGTTTATGGTTCATGGTGTATGGTTTAGGGTTTGGAGTTTAGGGTTTAGGGTTTAGGGTTTAGGGTTTAGGGTTTAGGCCCTAAGTGAGGGGTTAGGTTAGTAGGGTTCAAGGTTCAGGGTGCAGGGGTCAGGGGTCAGGGTTAGGGCTTAGGGTTTAGGGTTTAGGGTTTAGGGTTAAGGGGTTAATGGTGAGGGGCTGGGCTTTGGGGTTTGGAGTTGAGCTTTAGGGTTTGGGGTTTGGGGTTTGGGGTTCGGGGTTTGGGGTTTGGGGTTCGGAGTTTGGGGTTCGGGGTTTGGGGTTTGGGGTTTGGGGTTTGGGGTTGGGGGTTGGGGATTAGGGGTTAGGGGTTAGGGGTAACAAGGATAATAGTTTGGGTGGGCCAATACAGCCTCCCCACGGGGGGAGAAGCAGGTTTATTGTGTTGACAAACACGACCGCTGCACGCCACGTGGAGAGGTACCGGTAGGACGAGACGTAGGGGCTCTAACCCAAGCACACCCCGAGGGGTGTATGTAGGAGGGGAAACGTCACGCCCGCTAGGACAAGCTACCTACACCACCGCAAAGGCCTGGACGACGGGCGGAGCGGGCACTTAGGGCGCCTGCAGAGAGAAGAGAAGGGGATACAAGAGGTGCATGGGCTGTACGGGGCGCTAGCCCGAGAACCCCGAAGGGTTCAGGTACGGAGGAGAGCACCACCTCGTCGTGGTTCAGGTATCTACTTAAAGGTTCCCCTGAGGGTGTGCGCCGCCCCCGACCTCCCCTAGGGGGAAGGCCTGGACGACAGCGGGGGGCGCCGCGTAGGCGCCCACCGCGGGAGGGCGCCCCGAGGGCGCCGGCGCGGCATCGAAGTCCTCGGCCGCGCGGATGGCGAGCGTGCGCCGTTGCGCCGCGGAGAGGCGGCGATCCCAATGCTTGCCGGTGAGGCGGAGGGCCGTCGCGCGGAGGACCGTCAGCATCAGGCCGGAGCGCAGGTTGTTGAAGATCAGCCCAGTTAAGCTTGTTTATTCGGACCGACAGGAACAACACTGGCGGGTGGAAGCCGCTTAAACAAGCTATCCCAAAGTCGGACCCCGGCTGTCCTGTACCTACCTACGTCCGGGGCCGACCCCCCAATTTCACACCGTGGCTTGGTGCTAGACCGGAGACCGCTCTCGCGGGGGTGGGGCACGTTCCTTGAGCCCAGTGCCAGTGGACCGACAACCGTGCGTGCTCTGATGCGGGTACTGGGCCGTCAAGCACGCCTGAACAAGCTGGGCAGAGCGTACTCTTCTGCCCCTCCCGTCCGGGGAGAGTGAGATGCAAAAAACAAGGCCCGTTTGTATACGTGAAATATACGTGATATACGTCGTGAAACAGATGATGTACATATGTGGTGTATGGAAATGGGGCCCCTCAGATTGTATCACGCCGAAGAGGGTGCCCCTCTGAGTCTAACAGACTCGGAGGGGCTCCAAAAGAATGGGGCCTCAAAAGACAAAAAGGAATTGCTCGGGAGCAAAAAGGAGGTAACCTACATGTTGCTTCACCGTTTCACACCCTCTGTGGGGCTCGAACCCACGACCACAAGATTAAAAGTCTTGCGCTCTGCCTACTGAGCTAAGAGGGCTCAGATCAACAACACATTGATGACAGGATGCCGGCAAAAATGAATTTGTACCGGCTATTTTGCCTGGCAGAAAGGGGGGTAAATTCTCGCGTGAAAGGCAGCCTTCTATCCCCTAGGAAGGCCCCAGGTCCCTAGGGACTTGCTACTGTAGGGGCTGCCGCCTGGGAAATTGGAGCCATTCAATGATTTCCCTGGATTTTCCCCAAAGGACCCCGGAGAATGCCCCAGATGGATCCGAGGCCCCGTCCGCCACCGCCTGGCGGCGGCGGCGGCGTTGAAGCCGCTTGCAGGGCGCCTTCGGCGCCCTGCAAGCGGCCTTCGGCCGCTTCGCGGGGCGGCGACGCCGCCTAGGTCTCGGAATCCGAGACCTTTGAGATCTTTCGGGTCCACCCTCCTGATGTGCAGGACCCACCAGCCTCCATCCCTCCCCTGCCACCCCGGCGTTGAAGCAGCGTGCAGGGCGCCTTCGGCGCCCTGCAAGCGGCCTGCGGCCGCTTCGCGGTGCGGCGGCTCCGCCTAGGTCTCGGAATCCGAGACCTGGCTGGGAGTTCTTTCGGGACCACCTCCTGGTCTGGTGGACCAACCAGCCTCCGTCACTCCCCTGCCGCCGTGCGGCCACGAAACACGACCCCCGCGGTTCCCCAAGTATGTGGGAAGGTGGGCGCCTGCCTCCCGCCATCCCCTCCTCGGTCGACATGCCTTGGACCCCTCACGGTCCCCTTACGCCTGCCTTACGCCCCCCAAGCGGACCCACGGGGTCCACGCCCCTGGGCGGCTGCTTGGGCCGTGGAGAGGGGATCCGCTGCTGCGGGGCGTCACCCCGCGCTTGCCTGCAGGCGTGGGGGGGCTGAGGACGCGTCTGTACGCCCCAAACAGGTCTGGGCCCTGCCCCTCCCAAATCCCTCCCCTGCATCCTCTCCCGGAAACCGAATCCCTCAGACCCTGCGGGCCTTGTGTGGGCCCGCGGACCCCACCCCTGGGCCCCACCCCTGGGCTCCACCTGCGGCTCCCTTTGCCTTGCATGCCCAACCAGGGTCTTAGCAGCTTGCTCCCCTCCACCCTGTTCTGAGAGGCCTGAAAATCACCCCAGGGCCTCGTTCGGACCCTGGGTTGCTGTCTGGGCCCAAGCATGTGGCATTGGCAGGAGCTCTTCAGAGCGCTGCATCGCATGCCCTGCTGCTCAGAAACAAGGCGTCCTGACGTGAGCTGAGGGCCCTCTTGAGACGCTCACGGCCCGTGAGCGTCTCGAAAACGCTGCCTTGAATTTTAGCGTTGGAGAGTGCGAGGCCTCGCACTCTGTTGCTGGGGAATGGGGACCTTGATGGTCCTCTAGGCGCATGGGGCAGGCGTACACCTCCACGAGGGTGCACCCGCGATGTCTTGACGTCTTGCTTCACGGCCCTGCCCTGCCACCAGTTCGGCCTGAGACCGTAAACCCTAAACCCTAAACCCTAAACCCTAAACCCTAAACCCTAAACCCTAAACCCTAAACCCTAAACCCTAAACCCTAAACCCTAAAACACAACCCTATATTGTAAAAACAACACCATAAACTGAACCCTAAACCCTGAACCCTAAACCCTAAACCCTGAACCCTAAACCCTGAACTCTAAACCCTAAACCCTAAGCCCTAAACCCGGAACCCTAAACCCTAAACCCTAAACCCTGAACCCTAAACCCTAAACCCAAACCTAAATCCTAGACCCCAAACCCCGAACCCCAAACCCCAAACCCCAAACCCCAAACCCCAAACCCCAAACCCCAAACCGCGGACTCCTGAACCTGGCATCGTCGGGGCGGAAGAAGTAACGCCCCCCGGGAGTAGTCTTCGCCGATCGGGTGGGGCGGGGCTGGTACAGGGGTTCCTCGCTCATAAGAAACTGCCTCACCCTAGGACCCTACAGTAGGCCTACATGTATGCCTAGGACCCTATGGTGGTCCTAGGGGGGGGGCAATTTCTTATGAGCGAGGTACCCCTGTAACGCCCCCCGGGAGTGGGACATGGTGACCATGCTGGTTTCGATCTGTAATAAATGCACGTGTTTTTCTCTGTTGAAGCTGCCCGCACGTCTCTCCCTGCGCTGAGCCTGAGCTCTCCACGGTCGTGTTACAGGGTTCATACACGCTCCTTTGCCCCTTGAAGTACACCCAGATGAAAGCACTGCGAGCAAACTCACGTCTGGTCGCGTGCGATGCGCGGGATCTGAGGCTGTACAGGGGCAACTCGATCATAAGAAAGCGCGCCCCCCCCTAGGACCTCCATAGGGCCCTAGGCATACCGGGGTTCCTCGCTCATAAGAAGAAGAAAGAAAACCTAGGACCGTACAGTTCGAGGCCTATGCCTAGGGCCCTATGTTGATCCTAGGTGAGTGTAAATAAAAGCACCAAAGCACCAAAGGGGGGTGAGCGTTTCTATTGAGCGAGGTACCCCTGTACGCCTACTGTAGGGTCCCGGGGGGGGTCGCTTTCTGATGAGCGAGGTACCCCTGTAGGGGACACGAAGATAACTGTTCGGCTCGATTACAATAAACACGGAGGGCTGGGCGAGTGTTAATCAGGGTCTCTCTATCCCGCCTCATTGCAAGGCTCCAGGGTTGCTCGAAATTCAGGACGCCTGCCGCCTGAGGGTCCTACAGTAGGGCTAGTCCTAGGAGCATAGGACCACCCCCAGGGCGGTGCCTATCCTTAATCTCGAGCAACCCCCGCAGCGGGCAGTGGCTCGACTGGATTCACCCGACACACCCAGGACACTGTGGCGGTACAGGGGGTCACACACACCGTCTCTGGGGGGCTCCTAGGCTCCTAATAATATGCCGTCCGTCAGCCCCTAGAGCGATCCGTGTCCTTACTTGCGAGTCACCCCTGTTCAGGTCTCGCCTCGAATCCCGTCTTTTCAAGATGGCACTTTGGGGGGGAAACTTCCCACATCTGTACGAATGCTCTCAAAATCGCCGTTGAAAGCTTTCAAATTATGCAGTGGCAAAATACGAGGATCGCGTGAGACACGTCTTACATAAGGAGCCTAAGTTGGAGATCCCAGCGCCCTCTGGGATTGACTTTCCCCAACCAAAATCTGCGAATCTACGATGGACTATTTTCTGCGGGCGAAAAAGGCCTTTTATTCGCCCCCACCCCCGTTGATGTGGGCAGTTGTGCACCTTGACAGAAATGACTGTGAAACAGAGCGTGGGCGAATCCTTGGCCTTTTGTCTGTAAAATCTCAAGGCGTCTCAAGGTGCAGTTGGAATTTATTGTCTGACCCAACAGAGATATTCCCCCTCCATGGCAGGACGTGCAG